CCTAGTTTTGCAATATAAATAGGGGTATACCCCCTATTCTCTAGACCTTCTCTCTTCTCGCTCTCACAACTCTCTCTCTCTCTCTCCTTCTTTTGAGGGGCATACCCCACTCTCTCTCCTCTCCCTCTCTCTAGATCTTCTCTCTCCTAGCCATAGAGGGGGCACACCCCAACCATAAGGTCTACCCCACTCTCTCTCATCTTAAATGCTAGGGTTAGAAAGTATGCCAAAATATTTTGAGGTTAGGATCTAGGCTTGATAAATTACAAAAGGGTTATTTGAAATAGTTTGGTCGAAATTTACTTTTCCTGCTCGAGAATGAAGCTAGACCGTTGATCCCGTGCCATCGGATGGTGGTGACTCGATGTGTTGAGGTAATCTCTGGCACTTTTATTTTTTATTTCTTGAAATTGTATCTTTTATTCTCAAGTATAGTGGATAGTTGTTTCAATGGTATCAAGTTTTAAGATCTTGGTTTTATTATTATGTTGATTTTATTTTGAAGTTCATGTTATTACGATAAGACCACTTATAAGTGTTCTTTTACCAAAAGAAAAAAGGTTAAAAAAAAAGAAAAGATATTATTCTCCGGTAAAAAATCACATAGGCAAACCGGTCCAACGCGCATAGCAAAAAAAAAGGGTCCAAAATACAGTGGGGCCAATTTAAGGTTGGAGCACATTCGAGAGGTCTTAGACGAAGGCGAACCGATGTCACCTTTTTCAAAATTGTGGCACAAAGTTTGAGCTTAATGCTGAAGATGGTCAATACAAGGGTACTCCTCTTAGGTTTCCATGTCGCTGCTAATGGCCCAGTGCTATCGTACTAAAATGTAAAGAACGTACACTTGGTACTTTTTGACTCTATACAATCATGAATAAGGATCCTGTTGTTATTTGTAGGATGTTTTGATGTAACTTGTAGGCCTAAGGAGAATATGGGGAAAACTGAGATTGTCTGGTTGGTTGTAGCCAACAGCTCCCAAGTGGATTAGTTAAATGGATTGGATGAGGTATAGATGCTATTCCTACTATATACTTAGGAATTCCCCTTGTGAATGAAAAATTTCCAAGATCTATTTGGAACTCAATATTTGAAAGTTTTGAAGAGTTATTGGGCACTTGGAAAGCAAGGTAGCGCTCATTAGGGGGCAGAGTCACATTCATGATGTCCACCCCTTCCAATTTACTTGTCTGATATATGATTGATGCAGGAAATTGAAGGAGAATATAAAATAAACAATATTCCAGACCAACACAAGCGATCTCTAAGAGAAACTTGAGGGTTCTCCTAAACAAGACCCTTACTAGAGTGAAACTCTTTTCCTTCTTTATTTGCAAATCATGTTAGTTTCCTTACAACCCTCTTCCATCCCTATTTATAATAAAGACATTGCTTAGACTTCAAGAAATTTTAACTCAAATTAAAATTCAATAGTCGAACTAACAACTTATTCTATTGATTCTCCTTGGAGTTCTTCATCGTTCTTTTTTGTCAAAGATCAGCTCAACCATGAAATTTGTCCAACATCGTTGAACTAATCTCTTACGAGATCTTGTTCTTCGTTTGAGTATATGTTCAAGATTGGTGGAGAATCCCAATCTAAAATATGTTGATTTTGGATGCATTATGCATCAAAATCAGGAATGTCCACGTTCAATCAAAATCCTAGGGAGAGTGATGTCTCCCACATTTAGGTCTTCTATAACTTTTCTCTTCAGTTCTCATGTGGACTATGATGGTAAAAAGAGTTGTACTCGACATCTTCAGGGTGAAAAGATCACTGTTTTGCTCATGAATGATACCCATGAGATGTGCAAGTTGTTGAATTTGGCTCTTGAAATCTTCAATGCCCTCATCTCTAAGATCATGGGATAGATACAAAAGAGCTTCCCTTCATGCTGCCATGGGTTAACTGAAATAAAAAACCCTAGGCAGAGAATTAACAAAACTTGGGTGAAATTAACAAGATCTAGGCTTTGACAAACCTAGGCCGAAATCATTGAAAAGTTGGCTGAAATAAGCAAACTCAAACTCTAGACTTGGGTGTAGTTCATTGACCTTTTTGTTGAAGAAACGTGTGCTCGAATTCGAAATTGATGTAGAAAATTTAAAGAAGAATATAAAATCAACAATATTTCAGGCCAATACAAGTAATCTCTTAGAGACACCTCAGGGTTCTCCTACACAAAACCCTAGCTAGGGATTCCAGGGCAAAGCTCTCTTCCTTCTTTATTTCAAAATCATGTCAATCTCCTTAACCCTCTTCGCGTGCCTATTTATAATAAAGACCTTTCTTGAACCCCAAGAAATTTTATTTCTTGTTTCAAATAAGAATCCTAATAAACACAACATTCATAATGATATTGTAAAACTTGATAGAACAAAATATTCCATAAACAACTCCTAAAATCCTAAAACTATAGCAAAAACTCAAGAATCCCTAAAAATTTAAAAACTATAGACAATAACCCCTATAAACTTCAAAAACGCATATTTGAAATTTAATAAGAAAAAAAAAAAAAGAGAGGCATCTTGTCATGCATCAATGACCTTGTTTAGAGCTCCAAATACTGTGATCAATGGATTGGAAAGTATCATGAAGGCTTTTCTATGGAGGGGTGCTGAAAATGTTAATAAATACCATCTTGCCAAGAACATGATTTGTGACCCTAAAAGATTTGGTGTCAAATATTAAAACCAATGAATGAGGCTCTCTCAACAAAATGATGGTGGCCATATGCTATTGAGCTAATACATATTTGGAAATATGCTTTGACGGCTAATTGTGGTGGCGGACTGAAGGATTATATTACAGAAATCATGAAGTTGGGAGCTAAGGCTTCAACCCTATGGAAAGGTATAAATGGCATCCTACATCTTTTACAGAGGTACAGCATAACTTTGCTTGGTGATTGTATGACCAAAGAATTGCCCACCACAACTGCAACTCGCTGATTTCATCAAGATGGTGGCTGCTCGAGTGGCTACTGTGAAAGACTTGATTGCGGGATGTGGACATAATACAGTTCACACATCTCTTCATGGTCCTTCAATAAGGCGGACTTCGATATTTTCCCATCGACCTCACACCAGCAGGAGAATTCACAGGTAGATCCTTATATAGACAATTGTGTAATAGCACATATGTTGCCATTGAGGAGGCAGCTTCTAAAATTTGGGGTTGCCCCATTTCACACAAAAGGCAGGCGTTTGCCTTGTTAGCTTTGAGAAATAGAGCACTCACAATGGAACAACTGAGAAAGAAAGGTTTGCCACTTGCTAATATTTCCTTGCGATCACTTGTTCTTACATTGTTCAGTGCATCTTGGGCCAACATTTCGGCCCGAAATTCTCCATGGTCCTCTATATTTGTTATAATTTTTTTCATTTTTAGATAAATCATGCCGACAATATAGGGATTTGTCTTGTAGCATTTTTCGGATTACAGCTTCAGCATTTGCCCCTTTGCTGATTTGTTTTTCCAACAAATTAAATGGTTTAACTGTTGGGCCTTATTACTTTAAGCTTTCTAAAAGTCAATTCAAACTCAAACGCAAGCTGCTCATCTGCTAGCCAGGAAAATAACGTAAGAAGCTTCATGAAAATGAAACTCTCTCTCTCTCTCTCTCTCTCTCTCTCATATATATTAAAGTTTCGTAGTGTGAGGCAACTCAGGTCTTCCAAAGTAGTTGTTTCACGCAAACCTGCTGTTCCTTGGCAAACAAAGTCAATTTTGTAAGGCTCGTCCAAGGGACATGATCACCTTGTGTACGAGAGCGAGTAACTACTAATCACAGGTAATATATCACTAGAATTGGTGCTTTTATCGTCTAAAACTTGTACGCAAATAAGTACATAATAAGAGGGACATTTGATAGAAATGCATTTTGACTCCAAGGACAAAAATTATAAATGAGAAAGGGAAGCAGAGGTCCTCTCTCTCTCTCACACACATAGAAAATTGATGGGTGAGAGAGAAACAGTCATGGCAGCAGGCGAGATTTTGATTTTGCTCTCAATGTTTTGGCATGAGAGAGAGAAAGAGATAATTATGGGGCAGCCTATATCCTAGAGCTTCTCCAAGTTCTTTAAAGAAGGTTATTTCATGTCCTTGGACAGGATAGAGTGAAACAGTCCCCGCAGCAGGAGATATTGCTCTCATTGTTTTGGCATGAGAGAGAGAGATATAGATAACAATGGGGCACCCTATAACCACGAGCTTCTCCAAGCTCTTGAATGAAGGTTTTGTTATCCTTCTTTGACATGACACCGTATTGTATGATTATAGTACGGGACTGTTTACAAAGAGACCATTCATCTTTATTACAAGGAAGTCACAACTAGTCCCACTCATTAGATGTGAAATTAGATGGCTTGGGGCGAATTATAAAATCTAATTTTTTTTTTTTGCAATTTTGTATCTATTCAATGACACTTTTACAACTATCTATTTTGAAATTTAAAGAATAATAATGATGGTAACTTCCTTGTACAAGAGGTAAATACTCTCTTTGTATACTTTCCCTAATAGTATTCGGTATTCTCACTGTCTGTCACCTCTTTGGCAATGGACTTTTGAATATAGGCAACTATGAAAGTAGGCAACAGATAGCAATAGAATAGGGTATAAAATATATAATGCTCCTCATCCACCATTTGGATAAAAAATGATAGCGGATGTTGGGTTTAAGTATTCTATTTCTAACCTGAAATATTCTTCTATCCTTTGATACTCAAAAGTAAGGGGTATAAGACAAATTAGCATTAGCAGTAATACTTTCAACCAGTAGTCAGATTCGTTTTCTAGTCCACTTCAACTTGATGGGGGAAGAACAGCCCATTGGGGCTTTAGGAAAGCATTTCAAAACATAAAATATAAAATAGGACAATGAAAAGGAAAATTAAAAACAGGTCTTTTGAGACCAGAGTATTTGACCAAAGCATACCATTTATCTTTATTACAAGGTAAAAAAAAATACTCCAGTTTCACTCTCTCTAACTCACACAAACCACAATATGATCTACATAGAGATAAAAATATCCACAGAGACAAAAACAAAAGCAAACCACTTGCATTTACACACATAGATACATCAAGCACGGTCCAATGTTCAGTTTATTTACATTTTACACACACAAGTTTCTCACACTAATCAATTGCATCTCCTATGACGTCAAGCCCCATTCACTCCACCCCAACTTCAGTTGCAGGCCCAACAACATCAACCCACACTTCATTGACACGCCCAATCAATTTGAAAGGGCTACTATATTGTGCAATCGAGTAGGCATACTTACCTTCTTCAGACACAGTGGAATTTGCCCAAGGTGACTTTTCCAAACTAACTGCTAGGCTCTGGGCCTCCTTAATTACGTCACTGTCCATTGCAAACCCTGAGAATTTTCTCACTGCCACATAGTGGCTGCCCCATTTGTTGGGAATTAAATTGAGTTCAGGCAGTGGTGTTGGAGGAATATTGCGAAATTTTTCAGGCAGGTAGTACCTGACATAGTAAGCCGAGGAATGTAGCGGCCCTGCCCCTGGGACAATGCTTGTTAGCACGGGGGCAGTTATTCTTAAGCGAGATGAATTTAGGTTGGCACCTTGTATGTATTGGAACAACCTGCGAGAAAAAAGTGTTAAAGGCAAACCCTCTCGCTCTTATGAATGTAAGTGGCAGGATAAATGTACTTGGAAAACCCATAAGTTGAGTTTGTGAAAGAAGACTTCATCCCCACACCCACAGCCTCTGTGACCGGCATAACATCTCAGATTTGGATTGAGGAAAACGCATTGGCTTTGGGCAGTTTATGAAAATAAAACCACTTGATTGAATGAAGGGCAGAATGAAGACTAAAACATATCAAACAAAGGATATTAGGCATAACAAACATTATGTTTTTGGTGATAAGTTCATTTTTATTGATCTATTTGGTACAAGGTTAAAAAGCAAAATGAAAATAGTAATCTGAAGAACTTTCTTTTTAAACCCCAATAAAATCCTAGCCATAGCCACAACTTGTTAGAAACAACTCTCATCATGTATACTAATAACTGAAGAGAGGGTTAATGGTTTCAATGCTTTCTTGAGGCCTCCTCAGCCACTCTGGCTCATCATGGATTCATGCATGTTGCTCAAATTAAGTTCTCTCACACCATACCAGCTCTTTTCATCTTTCCCATCTTCATCAATATCACTCTAGCCAGGACATTCAGCGGATTCAGTATTGACATTTGAATTGGTCTCCAACTCCAGTGATGAGGTATACAAGACTAGAGGCAAATTACCCAAAACAATTTAAGAAGTTAAAATAGGCTAAAGTAAACCTATATTTTAATTTATTTTTTGAAAAGCATGTATTTTTTCTTTCTTTTTTTTATTAAAATTAACATAACTTTTTCAAGAGAAAAAACAAAGCCCTCCCTTTTGGTCAAAGAGAGAATATGACAATTAAATAAGACCAATGATTTCCTATTAATTTCATCATTTCCTTGATACATATTTATAAAAGAGGCAATATTTGACTCCGAGAAAAAGTGGTGCATAACATTTCTCTCTGGTGAAACCAAATGATCGACTACCGCTAGAAAAACTAACAAATACCTCATAGTTCTCAGCCACTAGGGAAGTTAGGACAACAATCCTTCAAACCAAACATAATACAACCCATACAGTCCTAAAAGTTACCTACTGGAATCTAATAGCAAACTTGAACTCTTTGAGACCCAACCCAGTTCCTCCACAAACCCAAGCACCAAGAGTCCTTCACTTCACCAGCTCCCACACCCAATTATCCAAAGCACCATACATCAGAACCAGCCCCTTGCCATCAAGGGGCATTTTCAGCGTATTTGATCGTCCACCATCAATTTGCCTGTCATACTTTATTAATCAAATGGACCTCCTCTTTCAAAAGCTGGTCATGCCCAAGGTCATCTAACTAATGATTCCATTAAATGGAGTTCCAGTTTATCACATACCTCGTCCCTTGTAAACAAATTATCAAATGAACAGAGAGGAAGAATTCCAGAATCAATTTTAAATCCTGCAATTTGAGTAGATTAATGTATGACATACTTACAATATTGTACATATGACTTTTTTTCTTTGATGAATGCTGTGCATACGTAATTTCTCAATTCAATTTTTTTAAAATTTGCTTATTTCTTAAAACATGCAAAATGGTCTCATAGTAAACCTCCTCTTTTTTATTTATATATTTATTTATTTTTATCCTTCTTTTCCTTTTGGGTAGATCAGCAGTGAAGGGTTTTCTACCCGTAGTAGGAATGGAACTCAATACGTCATTTTGTGGCACCCATCACCTTGACCACATATGCCTTGAATCCATTCCTCCATAGTCAACTTTTGTTTTCTCAATAAATTGCATGTGAAATTCAGGGGATCTGCACAACTAAGGGGACAATGTAGATGCCTATCTTTCAGAGGCACACACTTAAGAAATAGTCCAATGCCTTGAACATGCCCAAAAGGGGACAGGGAGACCGGAGACCTTGTGTGGGAGGAGCTTCCTCAAACATACGGAATAACGAAAGCCATTCTCTTGCAGTTAGAATCTATGGTAGCACATTGCAGTTTGATAATCATTCAATCCCTTGTCGATGTATTTGAAATCATGTGTTAGTGCCTAACATAGGGGTGGAGTGTCGGATTCCTCATGCCATGAAGAAGAGGAATTGACAACACGACTGTGTTGTGAAGAGAAAACAAAATCCAACAACATTCACTAATATTTGATTTCATGATGAGTAGCAAGAAATATTCAATTACACATTAGTTGGTTGAATCCATAGATATTCTGAAGGATCCATAGACATTTTCAAACTTCACATGTCTCAACTAAACAAAAATGAAATGCAAGTCTGTAAGATGATGTAATCAATGATTCATAAACAAAAGGAATCCAGATTCACGGTACATGTGTCAATATCATACAGCTTCAAAAAAAAACATCTGTCTGACATGGATATGGCACCCAATATTGCAACTTAACAAACCATGAACTAGATATGACCTTTTTCATTTTAAATTCGAAGATTGAACGCATTGAAGGGAGAAGATGATGGAGAACTTTGACACTGCCAGATTTTGATGGGTGATCTAGCTGGATTGTAGATTGTGAGGAACCGGTGTTTCTTAGAATTCTCAATCAAGCTTTTTTATGGTGGTCCTACATGACCCAGTTAACGCTATTCCCACTGTTCTGCTTTTCCTTTGAATCTTTGAAAAGACAACCCTCAAATTTGGGATCTATCCATTAAGCATTTGGTAAAGATATTTTCTCTCTAAAAAGCCTTTATAAAGACACAAAATGAATATACAATATTATTTGAAAAATGTTAATTAAGGAAAATTAAAGAATATGCGGTACATGTGAGGCCTCATGGCCACACAAGTACCAATCTCCCACTTGACCATAAGGGCAGTAGCGCACTTGTGCCACTTAGAGGATTTACCCTTTATAAGCATATCCTTGTTATGAGGTTTTTCATGTTGGGGCAATTATACGTCTTGGCAAAAAATTCATACATAATCTTGTCATGGGGTTTTCCATGCTATTGCAGTTTTTCCTCTCATGACAATGCTTCCAAAATCCTATTTCGGAGCAGTTTGAGACTTAGATGTTCCTAAGTCCTATTATATTTACATGCTTTGAAAAAATTTCAAAAGCTAATCCCTTTGTCAAAGGATCTACAATCATATTAGTGGATGGTAAATAATTTACAATTGCTCCATTCTTTTCAAATATATCATAAATAAAATGATATTCAATCTCAATGTGCTTGCACTTGGAGTAATGTGCTCAAATTTTAATCAATGAGATGGCAACTTAATTATCACAGAAAATTTTGAACTGGTCTATCAACTATATCTAACTTCAAATCCGTCACGAAACATATAATCCAGATAGCATAAGTAGAAGTATGCTACAACCAAATGAGAAATATACTGGGCTTCCATAATATACAATCTTATTTCTCGCTTGACCAAGACACACATACATCTCCAAAGAAGAAGACATGTCCAGAGGTTGATTTTCTATTATCAAGCCTACTGCAAAGTCTGCATCAGAGTACCCTCTAACATCTAAAAAGCCACATTGCTATTTTTGCAAAGGCTCGGATAGAGTAGCAATCAATTCGGTTTCCCCAAATTTCTCCACACCAAAAAGAAAATATGAAGCTTCTTCTACCTTTCAATAAAGACCAAGAAATCAATCAGAAAGAACATACACTTCTTAGAAATTTCCAGAAACTTAATACACTCAGTGATCAATTTATATTAGAGTAGGCATCTCTTTTTGCTTCCCCAAAATTTGATACCTAACTAATAACCACCAGCCTGCTATTCATATTTGAATCACAAACAAATAACCGAGATTATCAGTTCTTTGTACAAATGAGAAATGAAATTCTTTTCCAGTCCTCTTTCTAATGTATCATCATGATTATTACAGTGTTAGCCAAATGCTAAACACCTCAGATCATATTAAATGGGGAGGCAATGTTCATCAATTCCCCATTATCAAAAGCCCATATCCACCAATAATGCGTTTCTAATCATCAAAATCAAGTAGCCATTCGGATTAATTGTTTTTCTCTTCACAAGTAAATATAAGATGTCTCCCGACATATTTCCCTTTTATTTTTAATCAATAGTTTACCAGAAAAAAAAAAAAGAGCGTATGATTGTGAAGCATACCTATGAAAACCTTGTTTAGTGGCTTTCACAAATGAAATTTCCTGGACTGGAGCAGACATCCATGAGGATTCTCTGTATAATCTGATCTCAAAATCTGATTCAGTATGAATAACTGTGAATTGAGGGGATTCAATCCCCTCAACTTTGACAAACACCCATAAAAGCAGAACACAGAATCTGGGAAAATTGAACATCATCTTTGCACAAAGAAAGTAGCTCTATTCCTTTCAGCTGCAAAATTGCTCTTAACACTGAGAAATAGGCAGGCGAAGAGAGAGAAAGAGAGTGAAGTAGGACAAGGAGGAGTTTGTAGAGAGAGAAAGGAATCCGCGACGCCATGTTCTGATAAAGAATGGGATTTCCTATGATGAGTGGGTACGGCATTCGCTTTTGTTTATTAATTCGTCATTAATGGGCAAAGTTAACCATTATTTTATTACGAGAAATGGTTTGAACTATGAAGTGATTGAATTTGATTGTTTATAGGTAGGCTCTATACAAACCGCACCCAATAACTATTTAACAGATTTTTCTTTGGAAAAAGTTTATATAGAGCCGAGGCTCTAAACAATCAAATTTGAATTTATATTAAAAATTTCACTAAAAGAGATTGTTTTGATGTTAAAATATCTTCAAATTGATCATCCCGACATCAAAAAGCATGGACATGAGAAAAAAATAGATTTCAAGTTTTCAAAATAGTATATTTTGTAACGCATTTTTGGACCGTTAATTTTCAAGTTTTCATAGATATGTCGATCTACAAAATGTTTGAAACTTTAAACTATATAAACAAATATAAAAATATATTTTAAGGCTATCACAAAGATTTCCAATATGGAAACCACATTTTTCGATACTATTTGAAAGTAGGCTCTAATTTGATTGTTTAGAGCCTAGGCTCTATACTGACGGCACCCTTTGGTTTAACTTTAGAAAAATTAATGTAAATGTTTCTTTAATTTTTAGGTATTAAAATTTTTTATATAATTTTTTAAATTTATGTTAATATATTTTGGACATGATTTCTATGAATCTACGGACTTATATGTAGAAATACGCCCCCCTTAATAATTTATTTTTGAATTAGAATTTGATCCTCATTTTTAGAAAATATATAATCTTTAACATGAAGATTATTAATATATACAAATAAATAAATTTTAAAAACTAGAAATGATATGTTTTGGAGAAAATATTTGAACCATTGATTTTACTTTTTCTTCAGAGGACTATTATGTACATGACCCGGTTTTGATGGAAGGTGTAGATCTCCGGCCTGCATAGTAACATGTGGGCTTGGATGCACCAAATTTTGCATATATTTTTTGTCCAAAAAACGAATGAAGTCATGATGGAACAAGAGCCTGGCTACAATGAAGATTCATTTGAATGTGACTCTGAAGAAATGATAATTGAAAAATGTGAAGCTAATCTTGAGTCAAAACCTTCCTCAGATTCTCTTATAGATACAAATAGATATCACTTATGGTAAGACCAGAAGATATCAGGAAATATGAGTGTTTCATGCGAAGATGAAGAAGTCCTAGACGATATCAATTTGATAAGGATTGACCAATCAAGACTCATGCCCAAGCCTAAAAAGTATTCCATATGGCCCTAGGGCAAAGAAAGAAACCGCCCCTTAAATGAAGAACGAAATGATAGGGTGACCTATGCTGCTAAGAAATTCTAGAAACCAAATGATGAGAATTGCCGTAGCTCTAGGTCTATCCCATGAGGAGCTCCTATAAAATTAGAGAAGTCCTACCCACAAAAGGAGGAAGAAATCCCAATAAAATTTGAGAATATGAAGACATAAAGGAACCAAATTATCCATCCCATGAAAAAAACATTACATGGGTATGCGCTCACTAAAGATCTTATGGCTAGGGAATTTCAAAAATAAAATACCAAAAATTGCCTTAGCCTAGGATCCATGATCCAAGAGAGAATGGAAGAGCAAACTACCCCACAAGCATTTAAAGTGGAAGGAACTAGAAGGAGACTCAAGACACCCCTATCCTAAATAGTGAGGCTAAGGATTCTCAAATTCTAAATAAGGAGAATAACTGTATCCAGAGTTCGAAAACTCAAATAAAGGTGAAAAATTCAATACAAACCTCGATTCCAGTTGAAGATATGAGCCCACAGAAAGTTCAATACATCATGTCACCACAAAACATAATCTTTCAAATAAGTGCCATTGGTGACCTAGAGGAAGCTCAAGTCATCCATGAGCTCAATCGAGATCCTGAAGCTAGGGATTCCAAAGACTACATTAGTGAGAAATGCCTCAATCCCAAAAGTTAAAGTGCAAAGGAGTCAAGCCTAGAAGATTTAATTGAACTACCCCTAAGGTGGACTTAAACGAAGGTCTATCATTTCAAGAATGGATGAAAGAAATGGAACCTCTAGAAATCTTAAAGGGCCCAGGGCCACCTTCACCTGACTTCTTGGTGGACCCACCAATTTGAGATGAAGAGTTAAGCCTAGAGCAGTCAATCAGACCATCCTTTGAGGTCAGTCCAACGACCAATCCAAAAGAAGCAAGAGGTTGAGACTTAGCTATCCTTGAAAATTCAACACTTTTGTAAGAAATGAAAAAAGTTGAACCTCTAGAAATTTTAAGAGGACCACCAGGGCCACTTTCTCAATTTTTCCTAGATATCCCACCTATCTAAGATGAAGAACCCCAAAGAGAAGATAGGGGCATGGCTCCACTACCTGAGGAACCCCACATTCAAAAAGAAAAAGAAGATCCAATAGGGCAGTCCCATCCACCAATTTGATAAAGATTCCCCCATCTGATGAAAATGTTATAGAGGTAGTCCCATCCAACATATTGATAGGGATGGTCTCATCCAATGGAGAAGACCCTGTAGGGGCAACTACACTAAATTACTTGATAAGGGCACCCTCATTTGATGATGTTAATATAATGGACAAGCGGTGGAGATTACGCCTTATCTGAAGACTCCCAACATGCCCCAAGGCCATTAACTCCCTAAGAGCAACATGAGGTTTCGACTAAAAAAAGAGTACCGAAAACACATGGGGTGATCACTTGCTCCTCCCTCTCAAATAAGCCAAGTGGGATATTCATGCTCTGCATAGACATCCTACTCTATGGCATGGACAATCTAAGGAATCAAAAAAAAGAAAAAGATAAAAATAAATAAAATAAGAGAAAAAAATGCGCTTAGTGAATCAAGTAAAAGATTGAAGGACTAGAAAACTGAGAGTAACTCTGAGTCTGAAGACAAGGTTCAAGTGCAACAATTCAAAGAAAGAAAACTTTGTCAAAAAAGTATTGGATACCAACTAGGGCCAAGGTAAATCCAAAGATAACTAATATTAAAAGCTCCCTGCCACTTGGAAGAAGAAAGGATGATCGAATTCTCATATAGACGGAGTGCCATAAAAAAGAAAAACGCCATTCACTCTTCTTCTTCTCATCCTCTTTCTTCATCTTCTTCACAAGAGAAAAAAGAAAAGAAATTCCACCAGGTTGAAAATCTAAATGGAACCCTGAGTGTTAGAAAAAAAAGATAAGAAAAAAAAACTCCATCGGGCTGAAAATCTGAAAGAATCCCGAGCATTGAAAAAAAAAAAAGACCATCGGGTTGACCACCCAAAAGGGATCCCGAGGAGATAGAAAAAAATAAATTCTCGTCTCTTCTCCAAAATCTTCTCCAAAATCTCTAGAAAATTTTCTCTTCTCAAATCAGAATGGTGTTAGAAAACAAAGTAAATTGAAGATATCAATCCAAGTAAACCTGAAGAGCGTTGACTATCTGAACTTCAAATGAGTAGTAGTGGACGTACAACATCGGAAGTCCAAGGAGATTCTAATGCTAGAAAATCCTACTAATCTTCAAAACCTTCTAAAAATGGTTAAAAAAAAAGAAGGGGTTTCATAGAGGCTTGGATACGATGTTTCTGCTGCCACCAAATCCCAGATTGCCATGCTTGCAAACCCTTGAAAACAGAAAAATCAACCCATTCTTGGGCTTATATTTTGAACAACCGCACTTTCTCTACCTTATCACAAGTTAACTCAGTTATACAAAGATTTGAGCAGATCTCACCCAGAGATCGGCGCAGATCGAAGCGTAAACACTGTATCTAAAAGTTAAATTTTAGATAGTTTTTCTTTTTAAAAATTTTGATATAGTTTCTCTCCCTAAAACATTTAAGATATTTTCTCTCTCTAAAACTTAATTTTTGAAGTAATATCTTTTTTTAAGAATTTTGAGATAGTTTCTTCATTAAAACATAATTTTTGAAATTGTTTAATTTGGATCCAATGGGAAAAATAGGTAAGTTCTTTATACATGAAAAATGGTTATGGCAAATCTGTTTCACATGGAATAAATTTTTGCATGTGTAAAGGTACGAAACAAACATGTAACCTCTGTTTTCGTAATAAAATTTGTCCAGTGGATTATTTTTAGACGATCGAAACCCTAAAAAAGAATTTGTTGAAAAACACTACGATATAATTTAAGGGCCTCTTTGGGCACATATATTTTAAAGCGTCTTTGGGCACATATATTTTAAGGCATGGATTCTTAATATCTTTGAGATATTGTCAAAATCCACGTTTTGGATTGTTTAATGATTAGGATACTTAAAATCAGGAAATAAGACCTACTTTTCAATGATTTCATTTCCACACCAAAACTTGTATTTTTGCATTTCCAAGGTCTATGGATTTCACTCATTGGCTCCCTCGACATGAAACATAGGGAGCATTTGGTAGATATGAAAATTTTAGAGAGAGAAAGTAGCTAAATTTTTTTAAAAAGTGAAAGTATCTCAAAATTTTTAGAGAGAATCTATCTCAAATTTTAACTTTTAGAGAGAGAAAATATGTTAAAATTTTAGAGAAAAAAAGTACCAAATTTCTTTAGAGAGATGAATTATCTCAAAATTCAATAGAGAGAAACTATCTCAAATTTTAACTTTTAGAGAAAGAAAGTATGTCAAAATTTTAGAGAGAGAAATTATCTCACATTTTAAGTTTTAGAGAGAAACTATCATATTTTAGAGAGAGAAAGTATATATAAACATTTAGAGAAAGAAATCATCTCAATTATTTAGAGAGAAATTATTCCAAAATTTTAGAGAGAGAAAAAATATCATATTTTAATTTTTAGAGAGAGAAACTATGTCAAATTTTAGAGAGAGTACCTAAAAAGATTTAAAAGATAAACTATCTCAAAAAATTTAGTGAGAGAAACTATAAAAAAAATCTTAAGTTTTAGAGAAAGAAAGTATTCTTAAAATTGTAGAGAGAGATAATAGTCTTAAACTTTTAGAAAGAAACTATTATAAATTTTAGAAAGAGAAACGGCAAAAAAATTTTAGAGAGAGAAATATCTCATTTTTAGATAGAGAAACTATCTCAAATTTTGAGTTTTGGAGATAAACTATCTCAAATTTTGAATTTTAGAAAGAGAAAAATATATTAAAATTTTAGAAATAGAAATTATATCAAATTTTAGAGAGAGAAACTACCTAAAAATTTTTAGAGGGAGAAACTATCTCAAAAATTTTGGAGAGAGAAACTATCACAAAATTTATGTTTATGAGAGAAAAAGAATATTAAAAGTTCCGAGAGATGAACTATATCAAATTTTAAATAGAGAAAGTACATGAAATTTTTAGAGAGAGACACTATCTCAAAAAAATTTAGAGAGAAAAACTATTCAAAATTTAAGTTTTAGAGAGAGAAAGTATCTCAAATTTTAAATTTTAGAGAGAGAAAGTATATCAAAGTTTAGAGTGACACCATGTCAACTTTTAAAGAGAGAAACTATTTCAAAATTTTAGAGAGAGAAACTATCTCAAACTTGAAGTTTTAGAGAGAGAAAACATCTTAAAATTTACGAGTAACTATATCAAATTTTAGAGTGAGAAAGCACATAAATTTTTTTTTAAAAAAGAAACTATCGCGAAATTTTTAGGGAGAAATTATCTCAAATTTTAGCTTTTAGAAAGAGAAAGTATCTCAAAATTTGAGAGAAAAACTATATCATATTTTAGAGAGAGAAAATACTAAAAATTGTTTAGAGAGAGAAACTATATCAAAATTATTGAAGAGGGAAACTATCTCAAGTTTTAAGTTTTAGAGAGAGAGTATCTTAAAATTTTAGAAAGAAAAACTATATTAAATTTTAGAGAGAGTAAAGTACCTAAATATTTTAGAGAGAGAAATTATCTCAAAATTTTTAAATAGACATTTTCAAATTTTAAATTTTGGATAGAAGATATATTAAATTTTAGAGAAACAAACCATATCAAATTTTAGAGAGAGAAATTATTTCAAATTTTTTATAGATACACTATCCCAAATTTTGAGTTTTAGAGCGAGAAAATATATAAAAATTTTAGAGAGAGAAATTGTATCAAGTTTTATTACCAAACAATGGACATAGAAGTGATGGCAAGAAATCCATGAATTTTGTATAGTTTATCCAAACAAGGGATTTGAAGAATCCATGATAAAAATTCTTGATTTTGAAAATCCATAGATTTCTTTGGATTCAAATATCTAAGATTCCTAATTTCCTCTTATCCAAACGGGCCCAAAGAATATATAGTTATATGATTTATTTTTGGGATAATTATAAAAATACCCATAGAGCACTATTTAGCATTTTACACTTTTGACACTATTCCAACTCATGATCATGCCTCTTTTTATGGGTATTTTGAAACTAAAACAAACTATAGGTGCAATGTTAAATAGTTCATCTCACATGAGTATTTTGATATAGCCTAAATAGTTGGGAAAAGCTTTGATTATGATGATGACATAAGTATTTTTCTCTTCTTTTTTTTTTTTTTTTATGATGATTTGAATATTTTTCTTATTAAATGTTCCAATTTTTTTATTTTCTCTTTTCTTGATTTTTTTTGAAATATTTCAAGGTATAGATAAAACATTTAAATACTTTATCTTCTATATACTGTTTCTAACTTCTATATACTTTTAATGATTTATGGGTGTGGTTTCTATAAAGTTGCAACCTTAAACAATCCAATTAAGGCGTATCTCCAAAAATTTTCATAACATGTAATTTTGGTGTAAAAACTTCTTAGTATTATATGAAAATCTACTGTCATATCTAACTATAAAATTTTAAATTCCAAAAATTGTTAAAATCAAGTAGATCTATGACAATCTTATAAATGGACGGTCTAGATAATGCGTTGCAAGATACACTATTTCTTGGACTCAAAATCTTTTTTTTTCTTTCATATTCATACATATTGATGTTGAGATGATCAATTAAAGGGCTTTTATATATGGGTATGGTTTCTATAAGGTTGCAACCTTAAACAATCCAAATAAGGCGCACCTCTAAATTTTATCATAATATACAATGTTGGTGTAAAAAGTATTAGGATTATCTCAAAATCTATTTTCATATCTAATTATAAAATTTTAAACTCCAAAAATGTTTAAAATCAACTAGATTTATAAACAAATGAAATTCTCGAAAATGGATGGTCTATATATTACGTTTCAAGATGCACTATATTTTGGACTCAAAATCTTTTTTTTTAGTATTCATACATCTTGATGTTGAGATGATCAAATAGCAGATTTTTCAACGTTCAAACAACATTTTCCGATGGATTTTTGAGGTGCATATGTAATTCTACATTTTAAAGTCGCAACTTTATTTAAACTTTTTCCTTTATATATTAAAACAATTTTTTTTGGCTGGATTTTTGAGGTGCATTTTTCTTTCTACATTTTAAGATTGCAACTTTATATAAACTTTTTCCATGATTTATATTACCTATTTTAGATTTTGTTTATTTTTAATTGTTTATATTATTTTTAAAAATTTATAGGCATATTTTGCTCTTGTACATGACACGACCAAGCACTCAAACTTACTCAACTCAGGCCATGCCCGAGTCCGAGGCCAAGCTGAGTTTGAAAACATTGACTTCCAACCGAGATGCCGTATCCTCGTAACCTAACATACCAACCCACGGCAGCTTATCACCCTACACGCGGAACTGGTTGTGTCATCTCAAAACAGGCCACTAGTGGTTGGTTTTGACTGGTCAGGGTGGTTGACCACCATGACTTCAAAAAAAAAAAAGAAATTTATTTCAAATAGATTTTTTTTAAAAATATTTTTTATTGTTTAAAAAAAACGTGAAAAGTATTTTGACTACAAATACTTATTTTTATTTATTTGGATTATTTCTAAAATGCCCTAGCACAAATTAATTTTTCAAAAACTATTTTTTTTACTACTTTTCGATCTCATTTAGCTGTATTTGTTGAATTATGCTTTAAACATACTTGTTTCTTTTTTTTTTGAACTTGTTTTTAGCCCGGACATGTCCAGTTAAGGCCGGACCAGTTTTGGGTTGCCCGTATGGATGGGACCATCCACTGAACAACTTTTCAATAGAACTCTTTTCGGGTTCAATAATAATACACCTCCCTGTTTCGTGGTTTTGAATCACCTTTTAATTTAAAAAGGGAAAGGTTTTAATAAGGGTACAACCTTAAAATGTACAATCACAAATGCACCTCAAAAATCTATTGGAAATATTGTTTTAATGTTGAAAAAAGCCGTCTAATCGATCATCTCAATATCGAGATGTATGAATATAAAAAAAAAAAGTTTTTGAGTCCCGTAAATAGTGCATCTTACAACACATTACCTAGACCGTTCATTTTTAAGATTTTTTTATATTTATATATCTACTTGATTTTGACCATTTTTTAAATTTAAATTTTTTTAATTAAGTATGAAAATAGATTTTAAAATAATACTAAAAAATTTTTACAACAAAATTACATGATTAAATTTTAAAGTGGGCCATAATTAGATTGCTTAAAGTTACAACCTTATAGTAACCGCACCCATTTAAAAATGAACATCAAAAGAGCTTTGACTTGCGCTAGAACATAAAATGGCCACCAGATTTGACTTCTGCTAGAACGTATAATGGCTAGCCACCAGAGCTAAATCTTATCCATCCAACATCACTCGGGAATTGGGATGCTCCCCCCTCTCTATCTCTCTCTCTCTCTGTATTCCACTCCACTGAACTACCCTTAACATTTACCAATATGATCCCATATTCAACGTTTCTCTAGTAAACTATGATAAAAAAACAATTGAAATTGACGGCTCAAATATTTTCTTCGTAAAATCATTATTTTTATTTTTTAAAATTTATTTATTTATTTGTACTCATAATCTCTATGCTAGAGGTTACATATCCTTAAAAATTGGGTCTAAAATCCATCTCAAAAATAGATTTTTAAGAGTATGACACATTTCTACAAGGACACATAGAAACCGGCACTTTTGTAGGAATGTTGGGTAGGCAACCTTTTTTTTTTTTTGGTATGTGATCTTTAGAGGCCCCAACCAACCTCAACGAAGAAAAAATTCAAACCTTTCACTTTCTATGTGTCGAAAATAATGGCATCCCAAGATTATACAGTAACCATCCAATTTTTGTAGGAAATGATCTAGATGTTTAAAACCTCAAAATCCTCTTTAAAATACTCCACCCAACCTCAATGAAAAAAATTAAAACTCTCGCTTTCTAAATGGCATCCCAAGATTACACGGTAACCATCTAATTTTTGCAGAAAATGATCTAAGATGTTTAAGAACTCCAAATCCAATTTCCGATGTTTAAGAGCTCAAAATCCAATTTCTTTTTTTGAAAATAATTATATGATGGGATGGATCCCAAAAATTTCAAATAAAGAAACTCTACCAAGTGTTTTCCCAAGGGAGTAAGTCTATAGTCTGCTCCAGAGGGACCATATTATACAAGTGCTTTTCCAAGGGAATAAATCTATAGTCTGCTCCAGAGGGACCATATTATACAAGTGTTTTTCCAAGGGAGTAGATCTATGGTCTGCTCCCCAGGGACCATACTATACGCACTAAAAAAGCTAAAATCCTTTTAAGCTCGCTCTCTCATGGATTCCCCTTCCAAAAAAAAATATCTTTAAGGTCTCTCTCTCATGGGCTCCCCTTCCAAGCTCTCCTTGCTAATCCTAACAGTTATTCTCTTTAGAAGTTTTCAGGCCAAAGGTAGGTTCCCCTCCTCGTGCTTTTCTTCCCTTGCAGTCCAAACTTTTGACCTACTTCTTAGTTACAGGAAAATAGTTTCCTTCCAATCCTCTTCTTCCTGTTTCTTTCATTTTATTTTGGTTTTATTGAGGTAAGTTACATAGATGTAATTCTTTGTTGCTAACCTGTTTTCTTCTTTGTGAAGCTCTTGATGGACTTGAGAGGGATACACATAGACAGGACGACACTCACATGGCTGTAGATTTTGGCCGGAAATCTGGGCCACGACACCATTTTCCGGCAAGTCGTGCGGTTTCTCGGCAGCTTCGAGATGGTGGGTTGACCCCTCGTGCACCCATCGGCAGGCAACCTACATCCTACTTCATTACACCACCACCAATTTATATCTAAATCAAATGTTTCTGGTTATTAGGTAGTTATCTATATTTTGTTTTCCTTTTTTTCAATATTCTGGTCACATGTTCTTGATCAGTAACTCTTAAATGTAGAATTTTATCTTTTGACAATGATGTAGAATTTTTTCTTTTGTTAATAAATGATGTTCACGTTCACTCAAATTATTTTGGCAAAATTTTCTGGTTTGATTTGGATTTTTCTTTTGGGAAATTTATCTAACCTCTCAGAGATGCAATAGTTAACATTTTATTCCATTATTTGTCATAATTTTAGAAACCACTCCCAAAAGACAATTCCACGCAGGGAAAAAAATGTATATAATGTGTCAACTCATAGTAGTGGAGGCACCGAAAACCTCCACTCGAAAAAGTTGTTCCCAAGTAAAAAAACTCTAAACTGATCATCTCAACCTTGACACGTATGTATATGAAAAAAAAGGTTTTGAATCATAAAAATAAGGGTGTGGTTTGTGTATGGTTGGAACCTTAAACAATCTAATTAACATATAATTTTGATGCAAAAAATTATTAAGATTATCTCAAAATTTAATTTTATATCTAATTATGAAATTTTAAACTCTAAAAATGCTTAAAATCAATAAGAAATATATAAACATATGAAAATCTTGAAAATGGACGGTCTAGATAATGTGTATAAGAGGTACTATTTTTGAGACTCAAAATCTTTTTTTCTTTTCTATATTCATACATATCATTGTCGAGACGATCGATTTTTTAGGTACATCTGTAATTCTATATTTAAGGTTGCAACCTTATAAAAACTTTTTCTTAAAAATAATGCATGTGCAACACATTATCTAGACCGCCTCTTTTAAGACTTTTTAAGTATTTATGGATCTGCTCGATCTACATAAGATGTCGTAAGGATTTCCAATACTGAAACTATATATTGTAACAAGATTTAGAGGTATAGATTTCTTTAGTCACTAAGGTTGACACCTGATATCGCACTAATAAAAGGAAAAAAGATAGATACACACACCGCCCCCCCTTCCCACACGCTTGGGTTTTTAACCTACGTTTCCAAAATATGATCCCCCATATGTGGCAGTTTGGCACAAAAATGTGCCGGACCAGCATGAAAAGTGCACTAGTTATCTAACTACTATAGATACACCGGTTAACATTTTATTCCATTATTTGTGGGAATTTCAGAAACTACTCTCAAAAGACAATTTCATATAAGAAAGAGTTTATGTAACGTGTCAACCTCATATAGTAGTAGAAGTGGGCACCTCAAAAATCCACTTCAAAAGCTTGTTGACAAACTCGAAACTGATCTTGTATAAAAAAAAGGGTTTAGAGTCATAACAATAATGCATCATGTAACACATAATTTAGACCATTTGCAAAAATTTTAGGAAAAATATCTCCATAGACTTCATTTTCAACTTGCATTTCTTTTTGAACCCAAAAATTCAAAACCTATCTGCTAACCCCCCAAATAACTTTATCTATTTTTATCCCAATTTTTAACCTAAACAAATTGAAAAAGACATCTTTTTTTTTAACTCTCTCTCTCCTCATGTATTTCAAACTCTTTCCTCATGTGTTTCTCTCTCTAGACTGTCCAGGAGCTCGCCAAAACCCTTGTGTTTTGGCTGCTTTTTTTGTATCAATGAACGTTGTGAAATGAAGCTCAAGCATTTGACTTCATCACCATCCTGCAGCTGCTCTCTTCCTCCTAAGAAGATTAACATCCGGCATGGTAATGGAGGAGGAGATAGTGAGTGATGATAAGTACTGTCAATCCCTGGCAGCCACAAGAAGAAAATCAACATCACAATAACAACAATTGATGGAGCATGGGAACGAGGAAGAAGCAATTCAAGTTGTGAACCACTTCCTCTCTTCCTCCTCCAATCCTCATCTTGATTTAGGAATTAACCCAGAGCTAGCCCATGTCTAATTTTTGGGCCTCATCTGCTTGGGTGACATGCACTTTGCCCTCTCTTGCTATGACGATGCTATGAGTTGCTACACCTCTACATTGGCCCTTTAGAGGCGAATACTCGAAGACTCCGACTCTCTCTTGGAGATAGTTCAGGGGATCAAGAGAGGAAACACTTTGCCAGGGCTGAGGAGGCAGGACGAGGTCCCCAAGATCGCCAAGGGCGTGGGATTCTCCTTGCAAATCCGATCAAGATTTCGGCAAAAATGGTGGCCGGCCAAAAAGATCTAGTCTATGAAACCCTAAACCAGAAATTTGTGGGTTCTCCTTGCAAATCTTGATCAAGATTCTGGCCAAAATGGTGGCCGGTCAAAAAGATTGAAATTTGTCAAGATTTCGGTCACAATGGTGGCCGGCCAAATAGATTGAAATTTGTGGGTTCTCCCTGCAAATCCTAATCATGATTTCAGCCAAAATAGTGGCCAGCCAAAAATGGTTTCTGACGAGCAGGTGAGGGGGGAGATGGAAAGAAATCGGGGTTTGAGAGGTTGATGAGGGGAGAGAGAGAAAGGGATCACGTTAAGAGAGAGAGGGGTTTAGAAACCAGGTCTTTTTTAGGTTTGTTTGACTCAAAAAAATTAATAAAAAGTGAATAAATTATGATCAGGGGGTTAGGAGATATAATAGTGTGAACTTTTATGTAGTAAGATAGGTTTTGCAACCTAAGGCTAATGGAGAAATGAAAGTTGAAAATGGGGTCTATGAAGATATTTTCCCAACTTTTTAAACATTTATTGTCTTTTGAGAGTGGTTTCTAAAATTCTGACAAATAATAGAATAAGATGTTAACTATTTCATCTATCAGTGGATAGATTAATTTTCCTAAAGAAATTTTTTTTTTATGGTTAGATAATTGGTACATTTTGTGACAAAAGTGCCACACAATTTCAATATAAGTTGATCCAATGCATTTTGTGCCCGGACCGACATAACATGAATATCATAAGCTAAACCGGCACATTTTGTGTTGGACTGGCTTCTATATTCAAGTTGTAAAGTCCGGCAAGTGTCAGGCTTATATATTCAAGTTGTGCCAATGGCTTCTATAATCAAGTTGTGCTAGTCTGGCAAGTGTTAAATTGGCTTATATATTCAAGTTGTGCTAGTGGTTTTTATATTTTGTCTGGCAATTTTGTGCCAGACCGGCTTAAAGAGAAAGTAAGAAATGTGGGTTAAAATGAAGGTATTTTGGTACAACAAAAGTCAACTTTTTTTTGCTTGGGGGTGGATGCAAAAATATCAATAAAATTATAAGGTAACTAATTCAATTAATTCACCGGTGGTTAGTTTTTGAAAAATCATCTTGGTTAGGTACATCTTTGTGAAAATACAAATTCTCCCTACTTCGAGTTTAGAGCCCTTGACAGTGAGCACTTTGGTAATTTATATATATAGCAATGATAGCATGCAACCGTTGTATGTAATATGATGCAACAACGTTAAAAAACCATCTTATGGCCATTTGTTTGATCCAAATTTTGAAATATACACTCTTTTCATTCTAAAGAACAATCACAAAAAAAGGAAAAATTGAAAACACAACCTAAAAAGTATTTTTTTTATCCCAATTAACATACGCTGTTCATTTTGGTGAGATGCTTAGACCTAGGCTTTAGAAGGATTTTTTCATTTCCAATTTTTTTGGATAGCTTTATTATCATTAGATGAACAATGTTAAAAAAGAAAAAAATAATTTTGAGTTTATAAAGGCTAAGATCTTGAAATTCACAAAATGAATGGTCTAGATTCGTTTTTGAAGATGATTCATTTTGACCATATCTAGGGTTCAAATTGAACTTTTTTTTTTTGGGGGATTGATTATTGAGATGAAAAGAGTCTGTGTGTAAACTTTGGG